GTGTGTGTGTGTGAGAGAGAGAGAGAGAGAGAGAGAGAGAGAGCAGGTAAGTCTCCAACAGCGGGGCCGACCTCATGGTACTTCTATTGATCTGATGAGCAAAATCGAATAAATCTACAGCTAGTACATGGAGGTATACACTGCCACTCCGGTTTTTTTTTTTTTTTTTTTTCTAAATCCAAATCCCCCCACCCCTAGTCCACCATGCGCTCATATGGCAGGGTGAATCGCGTTCGACTATGAAACCGTGCGCTGATTGAGAGCGAGGTCGGAGCTCAAATTTTTGAGCTCCGCTCAATCCCACGCTCAAAAGCGCTTGAGCAGGGTTTGAGCGGGCGCGGAAGTATTTTTTTCTTGGAAAAAAATAAGGAAAAAAAAACAAAAAATACAGGGTTGTAGATCTTTTTGAGGTCTACAACCTTGTATTTTTTATTTTATTTTTCAAGTATTTCTCTATTTTAAAAAAATCAAAAAGATAAACGAAAGAAAAAAAAAAAAAACAAGAACATGAAATGGGTGGGTTTTTCTTTTTTTTCACAGAGATTTTTTTCCAGGTAAAAAATTAACAAAAAAAAACCTAAAAAATACAGCCTTGTACAGGGTCACCAGCCCGTACGTACGGAGTTCCCCGAGCAGACCTCCGTACGTACGGGCGTTCGGGTCCCGTACGGGGTCCGAACTCGACGGCGTCCGGCCCCCGCCAAATTTTATTTCAGGGCCTAAAGATAATTATTTTTTTTTGAATTGCTTTTTGTGAGTTCTCTATGATGTGAGTTACAGGCCTGTGAATTTGCAAGTGATTTGGCCTAGACAAATAAGAATTACAAATCGCCAAAGATGGAGGTGTCAAACGTATTTTTTCACTTTTTACTTTTTGTTTTTACTTTAGTTCGGGGTCTAAACAATTTTATTATTTTTTGAAACTTTTTTAGTGGGTTTTGTATTATGTGAAGTACACATCTGTAAATTTTCAGGGCATTTAACTATGCCAAAAACAAATGAAAAATCGCCAACGATGGCAATGTCGAAAACATGCTCGTGCAATCACTAAATTTAATTCTCTTTTTATTTTTATTTATTTTTATTATTAGTATTTGTTTTCCGTATTTTATTTTTATTTCAAATTTGGTAAG